TTTTTAAATGACAATTATATTTTATAGTTGTATGTTTATATGATGTTTTATATAACATTATATATGGATTATTTAAATAATATTTAAGTAAGCTTACTAACTACTTCCAGTCCAGTTAAAAGTAAGCGAATGTAAATAAGAAAATTCATACATATAATTACAAGCAATATTAATATATTTTCAAATGATTGTATATACATGTCTTATATTATTTTTAATTATATAACATGTTTTTTTTTATTTAAAAAATATTATCATTAGAAATATATTTGTATATAAACTATGATGCAATCAACTCCATTATTATGTTATTATAGCAATGGTAATAATAATTGTTATACCCCTAGTAGGTGATATTTAGGAATGACAATTATACCCGTGAATAATACTTGAACATGTCTTGACTTTGACGGGGAATATTTAGTTTGACCATGTACGGGTATGAGTAAAATCTGATATATTAAATAATCGGGTATGGGTACGGGTACGGGTACGGATATATATGTACCTGTCCTGTACTCATCTCTGTACCTGTCCTTGTTTCCATTCCCTATTTAATATCTACTTCCGATTTAATTATGTTGAAGAATTTTAATATTTTATTATGTGTGAATATTTATTATAATATGAGATAGAGAAATAACCTAATTATAATTATAATATAATGAAAAATAATTTAAAAATATTGTATTCTTTTTACAAAAAATAATAATAATTTTTGACATGTACGGATACAGGTATACCTGATAATCGACGGGGACGTGAATGAGGATGAAAATTATATACTCGACGGGTACGAGTACAGAGACGAAGATGGATTTGACTCGCGAGGACGGGGACGGTTATCATGAAACTCGTACCCGACCTGCCCTGTTGTCATCCCTAGTAATATTCCAAAACATTTTAATGGGTTTTATTGGTGTCTTAATTAAGTTGTGATATTTCAAAGCATTTTATTTAGAGTTCCATCGATGTCTTTATCAGCATCGATTTTTGTTATGTGAAAATAATATCACTTGAATGAAAATCACATCAAACATATATTAATTAAGTTTTAATTATCAATTCTAAAATATTATGTAAAATCCTAGGTATTTAGTTTGGAGAATGTAATCGACATTTTTTTTATCATTAAGTAAAATTTATTCATGTAGGTCTCTTTCACTACATGAAAATTATCATATAATAACATAATATATGTTATTAAAAATTATTTTTATCAACACAATAAATATAATATATATTGATAATATTATTAAAAAGTGTGGATATAGACTATAATGACACACAAAATATATTGTTAAATCTCATTTAAAATAACATGATTATTATATGTAACTATATGTTAAATAGATATATACATATATTTATTATACCTATAGTAACACTTTTTGTATGTCACTATATATAATATTTTCTTATAGGATTTCTTTATTTATTTTGTAATTTTTTTCATGAAATTCATTTAAAGTTATTTTAAAAAAATGTGTTATTAATGTGACAACTCAATGTTTTGTGTTCATCTTTATTTATTTATTTATAGGTCAAAGAAGGGGGGACAGATGAGAAAATGGATGAAGGTGTATTATAAGTACTTGAAGTAATTAATGACTTGTTAGGAGGCAATGCATTGTATCAATAATATTGTTAGACAATGTCCAACAATCCTGAGATGCCATAATTGGCAGCTGTATATGTTAGAGGGAGGATGACCGACTCTAACATTTTGTACCATTAATCTAAGCAAATTTGAATTGAATTAATATGGGTTCTTCATTTATATTGTTGCATTTCAACTATCAACTATACAATACTAAAATATTGATTGCCCATCCTTTATACATGCATCCTTTGCCTGCCATATGTAATAGCCAGTTTAAACTATTCAGAAAAAACAACTTGTCAAAGATATGTTCTTTATCTCATAATGACAAACATGAATGGTCGGTCACGTACTCTCTCACTTTCTACATGTTTAAGACAGTTAAGAGACTGAGCCAATATTTATCATTGACTACACACTCTTGTAATAAAAATATTTTATTTTTAAAAAACAACTTATATAACTAATATACAAGAATTGTAATATTTTTTTAAATACTTGTTGGTATAAATTTTAACTAATTATTTAAAATTTTCATTTTTAAATATACATTGTTAAAGAGATTTTTTCACTATTATATGTATATTTGAATATTAGCTTAAAATCACATTTAACGAAAAAATATATACTTCAATACTAAAAAATCTGTTTGAGAGTGTAGTTTTTTTATTATTTATTTAATCTCAATTAACTTACTCAACTAATTTTCAAATTAACCCTATCTGATTTGTCTAAGCGTACTAGATTCATATTCCTTAAGAAAAATTTCAGGTTCATTCCTAAAAAAAACAAAAATCTAACTACAGTACTACAAAAAAAATTCAGCATCCCCACGAGACTAGTTTTCAATAAATCATAAGAATTACTTTATACAAAAAGATACAACAACGTATGGAACAGGGAATGTCTTTTGGACTTCAAGATGAGCAAATATAACGAAGTATTTTATTAATTTATAATATTAATAAAAATAATTCTTCCATTTGTACACATTTTCAAACAATTTAATCTTTATAATTAATTTTTTAAACAATTCTCTGTTTAGACTCTTTTATTTTTAACTACTCACTATTATTTTATTTGATTGCTGAAGTGTGTGATTAAACGATATATTGCTTCTTGTCTAGGAAGAAAGCAAAATTGGTTTGAATTCGTTTTTGGGAGGAAACTTTTGTATAGAAAAAACGCGTTGAGTTAAATTGAAGACATTAATTGAAAGGTAATAACGCAGTGCTTGCAAGAAAAGCCAGCCAACTTTTTCCCCAATTTCTACAACAACCTTCACTTAATTTTTTTTGGCTTAATGGAACCATCCAGGGGCAAACAATATGTCTCTCATAAACTTTAACAAAAAAAAATAAAAATGAAATTATTGTGATTATGCAGTGAGAAGGTTAGTTTATATATTTTAGGAGAATAATGTTTTTACAATTTTTTTTATAGATTAAACATTAAATGAGTTATAGTATGTGCGAACAAAATAATTATATTTATCTTTAAAGTTTCAATCTCTAAATAAAAAAATTACATTAAACATATCTTCTAAACATTAATCAGATGTATATATTATTTTATTTGTTTAAAATTGATATTAAATTTTAAGCTTTCCTAGACATAAGATCAACCTTCTTCTAAAGCAGGATAAGGGTGCTTGTTTGACAAGTAAGGAAATGTGGAATAAGTACTTGGTGTTCAATTGGAAGCTTTCTTTTTTAAGGGTTGAATTAAGTATAAACGATTGTGTATTTTCATAATTAAATAAAAGTTTTCAATGATTAATATATAAGAGAACATTTCAATTTTAAATAATATGGTCTACATAGTATTTTAAAATTAACAAACAAAAATTAATTTATGCTTGCAAGATGTGAATAATAATAATATGAAATAAAAAAGTAATTAATTTTTTAATTACAATAGAATATTTTAAATAAATAAAAAATAATATAGATAACATTATATAAGAATAAATTTAAATTTTTGCATTTATAACAAAAAAATCTCACTTTTAATATTTTATTTTAAGTTTTAATGTTTTTAAATCGAAATAAAATATAAAAAAAAGTTACATAAAAATAAGAAGAAAAAAAGTGAGTGAAAACATTTTTATTGTGTGAAAGTCATATTCAAAACAAAAAGAGAGAGAGAATATGAACAATAAACTAATTGAAAATATGAATAATAAATTATATAATTTAATTTATATAAAAGCATATAATCATGCAAACGCAAAACACGGGATAATGTGCATTGAAAATTTAGTGATATGTTTGATTGCAAGAAGTGAAAAGAAATAAAGAAAAAATGAGAGTTTTTATTTTTCATTTTTTTTTCGCTATTTGATTAGATTGATAGTAAGAGACGTGAGAATTTGACCTTTTTTTCTTTCTTTCTTATTTTCACGTCTTTTAAAGAGAATAAAATTTTCAAAAATTATGTAATCCTCTCATTTTTTTTCCCCACACTATACTGTCGTAACAAACAAACTGTAAAAGTTTGTTATATACTTTTTTTTCACTAAATCTAGAATTATTAATCATAAGTGATGCATATCGAAAATGGAAAAATATAAAATTAAAAATTAAAAATTTAAATTATGTTTAATATAATTAATAAGATTAAGAGATTTTGTGTCTCTATATGTTATATTTAAATAAAAAAATAAAATACAAAATAACTAAAATAGAAGATAAATGAATAAAAATTAAAAAAAAAATATGTAAAACTAGTTACAATTTTAATCGTTAGTTTATGATTTATAAGAATATATAAAGTAGATACAAAGTTTTGATTTACAATTTTTAATAGTCAACTTCACTTCTAATATTATAATCATATTTATTTATTTATTTTTATTTAATTATAAAAATAATCTTAACTTAAATTTTAATTTCCATTTGTCAAATTTTAAATCAACCACAATTCCTCCTCTATATTAATAAGTGGTTACTTTTCAATCCTAATTCTATCATTTTTACTTTTAGTTAGCTATCACTTATCTTCTATTTTATTTATTTGATATTTTATCTTTTATTTAAATAAAAATATATAAAAATACGAAATATTTCAATTTCATTAATAATGTATAAATAAAAACAATAATTTATGAGTGAGAAATAAAGAAATAATTATTAAAAAATGGAGACTAAAAATTTGTATCGATATATTATTATAGATATAATAAATTATAAGATTATTAAAATTGTAACTAATATTCTAGTTATTTATAATTCATTGTGTTCTTGGGCGACACGTTCCGTTGAGTCAAAGTCCAACAACTTTGTTAAATTTTTTTTTTTTCTCGTTTTGTAACTAATGTGATTGAATTGGGCCTAATTGTTGGACCCAACAATAAAAGGAGCGGAATATTTAAATGGGAGGGGAGAATATCCCGGTGGATGATACCAAACCCGCTAAACATCGGTGGGTGGGTCCTGCAAGCTGCAATTCCTTCTCCTTCAACTTGCTGCATCTCACACACACACACACACTATTTCCCAATCGTTGATCACTCAGAGAAAACATGGGAGGTGCAAACAGAAGATCCAAAGGAAAATCGAGATCCAACAACACCACTGCCACCAGCGCCACAGCAAACCCTAAATCCCGAAGAAGAGGCTCACATGTTAAATCTGCACTCTTCGTCGATGGCGGTTTCTTGTCTGATTGGCATCTCCCCTCTCCCACTCACGATTCAGGTCCTTCATTCCTCTCTCTCTCTCTCTCTCTCTCAATTTACTTTGTTGTATCAAAATCTCTTTATGATAACTGATTTTTTTTATTTATTATTCGTATCTTTGAATTTGGAATTTCTTTTGCAGGGAGAAGTTCTGGCTCCAATAACAAATCCGGGAGCCAGCGTGGAGCGGAAGCCTCTGCATCTAAGAGTGCCATTGCGAAATCTTCGGGAGCTACTATTGGATACAATTATCCTTCACTTCATGTTCAGGTTTGTCGTGCCCAATAAATAAAACTATTATTAACTTTTATGCATTTTGTTTTTACTTGTTCTGCCTTCGCTCTCATTGTTCACGCCAGTGTGAATTTAATTAAGACTGTGATGTGATGATATTTTGCATAAAAGGTTACACTCTCTAGTCTACGGTATAAATTGTTCTCGTGATACTTTGTTTTGATGTGGGCTGTGAAGCTGTTTTTGCTTGTTTTCGTAAACAAGCAAAATGCAATGTGTTACTTAATCAGATAGATACTATATTTTAACTCTTATAACTTGTGTGCACTAGTTTGTGAGTGCATTTGCTCATCCATACAAGTCTCCTGGGGGAAGATATTGTCAATATCTACATCTTCGTGAATAGCTGAAAATTGTGTTGTTTGCCTTTTAACTTATCGGTCAGCTTATTTTTGCCACGTGTCTCTGGTTGAATATGTGTTTAATTTTGTAAAGATCAGATGAGATGTTTGTAGTTGCTTCAGAGTAACATGCGTTTAATGGCATATTACCAGGAGGTGGCGAGTGCTGGGACTGGGTACAACGGTGAAGATAATAAATTAAATCAGATGCAACCTTTTGTTATGGCTGGCTCCAAACAGAGTCAGATTATTGCTCATATAGACCAAACACCTCCTTCAAAACCCAACTGTGTGAAATATAGTTACAGTTATGGTGAGGATTTTATTTTGGGTGACAGCTCTCACAGAGGATTAGGCTTCCCTGCTGAACAAGACAAAACCCCACGTGACATTGGCACTT